CACAAAACAAAACCCCGAAAAATAAATATTTGGGAAGGTATCACTAACAGACGGTACACGAAAGCCAAAAGGATAGTGTATTACAACTTGTCAAAGTAGCAAAACCAGCTGAGCTGGAAAAAAGTACAAAATAGTTCTACATGAAATTACAACTAATACAAAATTGACGTTGCTAGCTTTTGCAGTTAACTAAGCTAGGAACCACCAGGAAACAAATTCCTATAATTGCGATAGACTTTATTTAGTAATAACTAGGATCAGATATTAACATTGATACCTTGAGTCTCCAGAACCATCCCAAGGATAATTTGCAACAAGAGCACCCTGCCAAAATGATAGAAGGTTAACAAGTAAAGGCCTCCATTTCAACGAATCCATATTCATTATGAAAGAATGTATGATTCTTTTTACAAGAATCTTCAATATTAACAAAAAAGCATTCCCATTAGTATTAAAAAAAATACTGTCGGAAGCAGAAAAGATGATTAGGTTATTGATTTGCTCCTGAAACTTTTAAGCAATACCAAGAACTATATAGGATGTAGCACAGACACAGTATATGATTTTTTTTTTTCCTTTCAAGTAACAGTGTCAATATTGCTTTATATACAGTTGTGGAGACAATCCATCACTCACCTCAGGTTTTTGGGTGAAGTGGTAAATCTAACATGATTTTATGGCACCAGGTTTTAATATGTCATGGGTTCACACATCAGAATTGGCAATTGGCAATGTAGAAAAGATATTTCTACCTCCATAAAATTTCCTGAAGATCTTGTCACTTGGCATAAAATTTCCTGGAGATCTTGTCACTTGGCCGAAAGGCTCTAACGAGGAATGTTAAAATCAATAGATATAAATGGTTGGTCTGAAAACCCATCAACTTTTTAAGTAAATTGATTATCTGAAATGCCAATAACCTGTTACACATGTCAAATGTTACACATGGATATGCCAAAATATTGAGGGAGCCCATAATGCAGTCCTAAATCCAAACTTAACATTTATCTTTTTTACATTCAATATGGCACTAACGCCATTTTGTATATCCTCTTTACCAAATGCGACACTTTCCAACAAACTACTTGCGAAGATAGCATCTAGCTATTTCTTTCTTTCTGTCTTTGGCTTGTCAATACTCAAACCTCACATTGTCTGAGTTCCACATCTATCCACTCTTTTCTTTTTGTTTCTCAGCCCCCTTAAGCCTTCTCTTGTTCAACTGAAAGAAGTGGCCGTCTGTTTCCCACACTCAATGTAAGACGGATATTCATTTGACATCTTTGTACCCTCGCCTTCAAAGGATGTTCTACATTTTGCTTTCTGCAATTTCATTCTTGTATAGAACGGCATTCAGAATTTTGCATGTGAATATTAACTTCTAACTTATTTATTTATTTGGCTGAAATTATTGCGAAAGAATTACATGTGAATCTCAAGAATACAGAAATATGATAACTTATTAAGATAACAAGATAAAACAGTATGTTATAGTATAGCGTCTGACAAGGTTCTTCCCACCATTCAGATTATCCTTTAGATAAATGCTGGATGGGATGCCCGATATATATGCAATGCCTCAATTTAGACTTTTACTATTTCTAACTAGTGCAACTCCAGATAATTTTCAGAACAAATAGACCTTCAAAAGTGACTCAAATGGGAATATTGGTGAAGAATCTGATTTCATATAGAAGGCTGTCAATTTGTTGGGGCAAGAAGAAATATTACCCCATGTAAACTTGCAGAAGCCGTAAAGTGTTGCCCTTTTATCCAACTCATAACTGCTCTGGTTTCAGGTTGTCGCAAGTCCACTACATCATTTATCGGAAAAAACTACAAGGAGTTATTACATCAGTACATAGCACTGCTAAGTAACAGATAGAAAAATGTGAAATGAAGAATTCTAAACTTTCATCACGGCTAAAATCAATATAAGGGTCAAGAGCATGTTCAAAACCCTTATGTCAATATATCATAAATTGGAAATGCTCACTTGGTCAGGAAAATCCCGATTTAGGTCCACATTGTTTGCATTCCCACGTCTCCTAAGAGCAAATCCGTCAGGATTCATTGTTGGAAGAATATGAAGATGAACATTTTTTATGATCAATGTTGCCTACATGCACAAAGTTGATCTAGTTATGGAACCAAATGACTGAGAAACAAGAAAATATTAAGGAAATGATGAGGAAATCCACCGGGAAGATGACATAATCTATGCTAGAAAAGGCATGTAGTGCCTCCAAGGTGTCTAAATTGTAGCTATAATAAACATATGAAATGAATAAGACTATACATATGGTATAACCAGCAACGCCCACATTTACTATGTATTCATGTTATGTATGAAAAATCTAATGAAACACACACATTCCCTATGTATTCATGTGGAATGTAGAAACATCCACAGCAATATCTTCTTAAGGGGAATGGATATTTAATAAGAAAAATACACAAAGTATTAGTGTGTGAAACAATAAGAAGCCATCATACATGGGGTCTATAAAATACACGTGGATAACACTTCTTAGGCTTCACACTGTAACAGCATCAGATGTTGTGGAACTATGATAGCAAAATACCTTCACATCAAGAAGGCTCCATGAACATTTTCGACAAAAAAAATTCTATCCAACTGTTAACCGAATATGTTGGTAGCAAGTTCGTAGACCATACAGCCAATAAAGCTAATAGACTAGTTAACAAGTAGGAAAATGGTCTTACTCGATGCTAGTTAACTCATTCACTCTAAGTTCCCAGACCAGAGGTGTCCACCAATAAAGCGGACGGGTGATTCAACAGATGAAAAAAAAAACAACCTTAAAGAGAATTGGCTAAGGTTTAATTGCACTTAAATGCCCTATAGCTTCTCCTACTTCGCACTTATATGCCCTAACTTGTTTTTGGCAGCACTCATATGCTCCAAATTTTAAAAACTTGCACTTATATACCCTTACTTTTTTTAGCAGTACTTATATACCCTAAAGTTTTTGAAACTTGCATTTAATACCCTAAAGTTTAGAAACGTGCACTTAAATACCTCAGTTATGCAAACTTGAAGGTATTTAAGTGCAAGTATTAAAGACTTAGGGTATGTAAGTGCTACCAAAAAAAAGGGAGAGCATATGAGTGCAAGTTTTAAAAACTTTAGGGTACATAAGTGCTACCAAAAACAAGCGAGGGTATATGAGTTCAAACTAGGAGAAGTTACAGAGTATTTAAGTGCAATTAACCCAATAGCTAACCCACATCAAACCCCATAAATGATACAGTTTATGCATTTCCATGCACTGTGCATTCCACATTAGGATCGCCCACGATGGAGAAGTAACAGATTACCACTAATGGTCAATAAATTAATTAGCTATTTTATGTATTCAATGCTAGGTATTTAGCCTTTTTCACTGAACTTTATCATAAGGGAAGAACATGAATAATATAAGATTGATGGTTTCCCATGCAAGTGCATCAAGATCACCAAAAAAGAAAACATGTAAAGAAGAGAGAGAGAGAGAGAGAGAGAGAGAGAGAGAGAGAGAGAGAGAGAGAGGG